CACATCACGTTGGGGATTTTGATCTATTCTATTTCTTTGGTCTATTTCTAAGTTTGAAATGATTTATGAGGATTGAATCACTGATCTTCAACTTCCAGGCTCTGACGAAGGCGACTAGCCGAAACGTAAGCCCAATAAAGTGATTTAACACCTTGGTTGTGGCTTACAAAAAATCATTGAAGACAAGATTTTGGTCTAGGCCGTACGACCTCCTCCTAAAAGGTGGTTTGGACACGACCCCCCCCCCCCCTCCCCTCCCTCCTCATCCGATCGGCTGTGGAGCGGGAAGAGGGAGGATTGGAGGCGAAAATCAACAAGCACTTTTAGAAGATCAGAAGCCGAATACGACCTCCCTCTCCCAACAGCGAGCGAATACGATCCCCTTACAGCGTCCCTGAAACAAGAAAAATCAATTATCAAAAAATTTAAAAATTTTTCCCAGGTTAAGCACGCCTCCCCCCCCCCCCTTAAAGGGAATCGCCAGCGATGATGCGCACTCGTGAAAACGCTGCCGTACACTGGCATACGCTGGCGTACGCCACATCGATATCCATACTTCCATAGTCGCTCGAAACTTTCCTGTATGCAAGAGAACGCTGGCACACGCTGGTGGACGCTTGAAACGCTAGATCGATATCCATAGTTACCTAGTCGCTCGAAACGCTACTGTACTTTGGCGTACGTTGGCACACGCTGGGGTACGTTTGAACGATACCTATGCTTTCCTAGTCGCTGGCGTTCGCGTAGGTTCGAAACGTTGCTGCACACTGAAGTACGCTGACGCGAAATATAGAAGCAACCTCACAGATGAAAGAACAGAGAGGATAAGCATGTGTTATCCACATAGAAGAGCTCCATTCATTGATTGTCATACTATGGTGTTGACACATTAACATCAAAAAAAAAGGATATTAGATGAAAAGCCGTTGAGACGAAAGTTGAGAGCAGCCCCGGTAAAGTAACGTTTGCGCGAATTCGAGTCTCGCATAGCGTCTGACTTTTACCTAGCTATCTCAGCATCCATATGATCCATTCATAGAGTTCTGGTTTTGCAATTCAACGTTTTCAGGAGCATTTCTGCTTTTCAAAAAAACGTGGTATAAAACGAATACTGTATAACATTCAGCCCCCATAATAAGAAAAAAACAGGATATATGTTTTATCAGAATTCCTACTGGACAATAATGAAGCGTAAAAGTAACGAAATTCAAAGCGAAACTAACTTTTTGGTCTTATCCTTCATAGAGACGTTTAAAAGAGCAGCACGCTTAGGTTCTGCTGCTCCGTTTACAGAACCTTAATCGATATAAAATTGAAAATCCTCGGTAATCCGATACGACCTGCATATTTCCACTCACATTTTGAAGATGTTGATGGCGACTTATTCAAAGCCTTCTTTTTCTTCGTTTTTTTATCTTTCTTTTCCGATCCTTTATTCTCCGCTGAACATTTGGACGCTGATTCCTAAGAGATTGCGTTCAAAAGAACGTCATCAAACACTTCAATAATATAAGATCAGACGCAAAGAGTCTATGGTCTGACTTTCTCTTTTTTCGCTCTCAGTCTCGCTAAAAGACTTCGCTTGGGACGAGAACGGGTAGTGCTGCGTTCCAGGCTTCCGTCACTCTGTGCACCTGGACGAGAGAGATTCGTGGAAGACTGAGAAACATCCTTCCCTTGACGGCCATTGCTCCTTTCGAGAAACTCATCCATCCTTTGTACTTCACGTGAAAAGCGCAATCTAAAAGCAAAAACGGTACTATACCTTGTGGAAATATTATCTTCAGAAACAACGGTACCTTTGCCGTTCGCCAATATTTCTCTCGTTCGAACTTCCGTCGCTCAAACAATAAGGATGGAACATTTGCTCACAGAACTGCGCTTGTGCGGGATGTGGAGGAAGAATGGTGTTCGGGACACGATGATTATTCCAGGCAAGGCCGTAATCCACATGGTTAACCGCATGACCGGTGGAACTGCCATGCTGAAACGCACATGTGGAAATAGCTAATCAACATCTGAAGTCTGAAGCTTTCATTTAGTTACCTGAGGATAGTAGAAGAATTCGTCTCTGAACTCGTTTGGGTGTTCCCTACAAGGAAACTGCAGAGGCTCCTCTTGTTGTTGCATTTGAGTATTTTGACGCCGCAATCCTTTATGGGAAGCCGGATATGTTCTCCTGAACAGAAACAACTTCTTCATCGATCGGCTTAACTGCAAGTCAACTTATTCCAAAGCTGGTGGACCTCACAATCCATCTCGAGACAGCCGAAAACATGAACACCTGTGGAGAATAGAAGTAAGAGATTCCCTTACAATTCAATGTAACGGCGAATGAGGTTTAGAAGTTATTCTCTAAATCGCAGCGGCAGGTATTAGAAAGGAGACCGACCCTGTCAATCAGACCCAGTCTGTTGCCCGAACCTCACTGCGCACGTAGAGCTATACAAGAAAGGTAACTGAGGAGGACATAAGAGCGTTTTACGGCTCGGGGAGGCATTTCGCGCTTCCTCTAGTTCGCTTTGTTGGTTCATGTTCAATAACAGGTCCCCTTTTGTGAGACCTTTAAACTCTTGAACAACATGGAAGTCTGTCTACCAGCCGACAACATCGGTAGGTATCCCTGTCTTGAGCAGATGAACTGCTTTACATCTACATCTGCATCACCTCTACGGATCCCATTCAAAAAAAGGCCTCCGGGCAGGGTGAGTTTCGACATTAAGAGCAAGAAATGCCACAATAACATATACTGGCCTTACCAAGAGGTCATTCAGACGTGGAAAACGTTCTCCAAAAGGTTCTTGCAGGATGTAAGAGTGCACGCATGGGCTACCGTAATTAAAGAGATTTTTCTGAACGGCTCTGGGAATGCCAAAGACAGAATTAATGAATGCGCAAAATGCATTACTGAGGCAAACCACAGCTTCAAGAGAGAGAGAGAGAGAGAGAGAGAGAGAGAGAGAGAGAGAGAGAGAG